TGTGTATAAGAGACAGCTCCATGGGGCCAGAGCAAGCGGTGGGTGTTTGTCCCGCACTGGCGGGGCAGGAGGTAGCTCAGCCTGGGTCACACACCCCATCGTGGCTGAGCAGGAGTCCTGCTCGGGGGCGATGCCGTGGGCACCCTTCTGTGTCTTGGATCGGTCTGCAGGTTCCCTTACACCCTCTCCTCACCTTGCTGGAGGTCGCCTTGGCTTTGACGCCTGGCAGGGGCCAGCCCTCCCTCCTCTGGATTTGCCTCCCCATCTGCTGTGCACTGCTGTTAGCTCAGAGGATCTGTGCCAGCATCCTGTGGGCACCACATCCACGCTGGGGCAGGAGCAGGTGCTCAATGGGGAGACTCCCGTGAAGTTGGTGCATTGTCTGAGGGACCCCTGCCTTCCAACTGGACATGCTGCCCAGGACCAGACCCTCCCCACTGCCTCGTCATAAAATAATAATAATAATGATGATGATGATAGTGTATTTCCTTACCACAAGGTGTTTCTCCTCCAATATGGCAGCACTGGGCTGCAGATCCCCGGGGAAGGAGAGACAACATGGTTGTTTCCATCCCCACCTATACATGCAGTGCCAGGGCCCTGGCGGGGCAGAGCACAAGTCCCAGAGCAGAGCACTGCTGTCCCGCTGGGTTTGGGACACATGTGGGGTTAAGGAGGAGGCATGTCCCAGCTGTGCCCAGGAAATGGTGGCACTGCGCTGGGGAGGCAGACTGGGAGCCGAGATGGGCATGCTTGGGGCAGCACCCCGGGGGTAGGTGCCATTGGGGTGAGCTGGAGGGAAAAGGACTTGTTGCCAGCCACATCGCCCCAGAGTGCAGTAGGAGCCAAGTTGCTTTGGCTAGGAGACCTGGAGACATGGCTTCCCCAGCAGCCCTCTGCAGTGACGGTGGCCTGGCTGGGCTGGGTGACGCTGCCCACAGCCCCACTGCTGCACTGTCAGAAGCAGGGACCAGGGTACCTGTGGGGTGGCATGGGATGCTTAGCGCCCCTGGGAAGCTGGCAGCATGGCTGTGATCCTGCTCGCTGGTTGTTGCACCCATGGGACTTCCTGATGTAATGATCCCTCCTCCTTTCCTGTGCTCAGCACCACTTTAAGTGACTGTCCACCCTGCACTGGGGATGCTGGTTGATGTAGGGCTCTGCCATGTCCCTTGTGAGCCAGCTTTCCCCACACCATGCAAGCAAGGTCATGGGGCCTTTCCTCATTGCTTGGCCACCCGCCCTCCCATATTAGCTGGAGGCTTTAATTAATAAAGGCATTCACCATATGCTGAGTACTGTTCCCAGCTGCTGGGGGTGCAGCCACACAGATTGGTGTGGTCAGCGTGGGACACTCCTGCTCTCTTCCAGACCCAGGTACTGGTGAGGCTGATTTTCCTCCCATTTTTTAACTATGGGATTGTGTCCCAGGGATCGCGGGGTTGCTTGGTTGGTGGCTCTGTGGACTGCAGAGTCTTGGCTGTACTGGTGGGCTGCAGGCGAGGGCTGTCTCCTTGCACAAAGCCATTTCCCTAGCAGCCCAGCCTGGAGCAACATGTCCCAGCGGTGTGTCTCTCCATGGGGCTCTCAGCACCAGTCCCCACTGGGGTTTTGCACAGCCCCCAGCCCCTTTGTACAGGGGGTGACATGGATTCCCCCAGTGCTGGATGCCCTGGGACTCCTGGGAGGTTTTGTGGTGCTGTTTCTCCCTCCAAACAGTTCTGGTTTGTTGGATGGCTCCCAAGGAGCAAAGCAAAGTGTGGTGTCTGCAGAAAGCAGCCAGGTGGCACAGCCTGCTTGCATTTTGAATGGAAAACCTGGTCGGATGGGCAAAAGCTGTCTTTTGAGGGGAGTTGATGACCAGCTCCCATATTCCTGGTGGCCTTGCAATGCTCGTTGAGTTGCTTAGCCTTTCCACATCGTCAGCCTGGGCTGACCTAGGTTTGAAGGTGGACAAACGTGGAGCAGGCTTGGCTGAGGCTGTGGATGAAGCAGGGTCTGTGTCTGCTGTGGTGCTAGCACAGCCCGATATCATCCCCGGTATTGCCAAGGAGATTGCAGAGGGTGGGTAGGCAGTGGAAGGGGTGTGGGACTGGTGCTGCCTGTTCTGAGTAGCAACAGCTTGTCCAAAGGCTTGGCCTTGGGGAAGGGGTGGAGACGGAGGCAGCGAAGGCAAATACCTGAGGTCCAGATCCTGCCTGAGCGCACATAATCCCCTTGCACTGGGACTTGCCAGTTACCAACCCAGTCTATACGATGAGGGAGCTTGGATTGTCCCGTGTTCCTGATGTCTGTCACCTTCCATATGCAGACAGCTGCCAGGGGCATGGGCATCCCCTTGCTCCCCTTTGCTTTTGAAACTGGCCTGGGGGTGTTTTTGGAGACGCTGGAGTTGTGGGGTACAAAGTACCAGTGCCGTGGTCAGCGGCATCCAGTCCCATACCTCTACTCCACAGCCAAGTCTGTCCCTGCAAGTCCTGGGGCTGAGCTGCTGGCTGGCCAGCACCTGCTTCACAGGCAGGAAGAGTTTGGGCGTAAAGGCTTCACATTTGGTTTTATCCCATCATTGCAATACAAACTTCAAGCTGTCTCTCTGCTCTCCTGCTGCTCAGAGCATCCCTCTGCCTCCCAGCATGGCTGAGAAACATCACCCCTTGTTCTGACTCTGCACCCATAGCTGTCCACAGCTTAAAAACCAGCCAAAACCTTGAATTTTCTCCCGCTGACTGATGCTGGAAGTTGGGATGGGAATTGGGGTGTTCTAGCCCTGGGTTGAGTGATTACAGGGATTACCAGCATGGACCGACCAGGTTGGTCTCACAGTTTGCCATGCACTGGAAACGGGTATGTCCTTAACTGGGAGAACTGGACCTGAGTGGGAGCTGGAAGCTGAGCAAATCCAGCCCTGTGCCTGCTTTCAGCTCCCAGCAAAGGGGCTTGCTGTGGCCCCAGACAAGCTGAAGCACCAGGTCCCCATGGTAGATGGGTGGTGTGAAGCTGATTTAGGTCCTGTCCCCATGGGCAGGGACACCCAGGAGGCTCCCAGGGGGCTGGGACAAAGGGGACCAAGGCAGGAGCTGCCCTGACAGCTCCCTCATGCCGGGCAGGGCTGCTGCTGCAGGAGATGACCATGGCGGGGCTGCACGAGCTGCGCTTCACCGAGGAGAAGCCGCTGCTGCGGGGCCAGGACGCTGAGCTGGTGAGTCTGGTGGCCACGCTGGCTCTGTCTCCTGCAAGTGGGGTGCCAGGATGTGGGTGTGTAAGCGGGAGCTTGGGGCGGAGGGTGTGCTGGTATTGGGTGTTCATGGGCGCCCGTGGGTGATGTCTGGTGCACACGTGTGTGCAGACGTGTGCTGTATGGCTGCACACGCACAGGTGAGTGCAGGCTCTGCCTTGGTGTGCTGATGTGTGTGTGTGAGTTGCACGTACGGGCTAATACACACGTGTGTGCACACGTGCAGGTAGCGCATGCACGTGTGCAGGTATTGTAGCTGTGTGTGTGTGTACACACGTGTGGGCATTGCGTCCCCCTGCAGCCAGTGCTGCCCCGGGGAGTGGGTGCTTGTGGTGTCAGGGGGCTTTGTCATGGGAGTGAGCTGCAGCGGGGGGATGTCTCTGTCCCTAACGGCTCCTTCACTCCCCAGGAGAACTCAGATGTCTTCCTCTCCGCTGTGGACACAGACTGGAAGGTAGGAGCAGCCACGGGGGGTGCCCTCCCCACTGGGTCCTGCGTGGGACAGCAGCCTGTGGCTGGGGAAGGCTGTGGGGCTCTGAGTGGGCCCAGGGGTGTTGCTGTCCCCCACCTCCCGTGGGGACGCAGTGCCTGGTGGGTGTCTGTGCATGGGACTAAACGTTCATTGCGGTCACTGGCAGGAGGGGACAGGGGGGTGCTGCCAGGCTTGCTCTGTGTTGGCACTTGGATGTGGCTGGTGGGCACTTGGTGACAGGCCCGGGACAAAACCTCTTTAAAACAGGAGATTGCTTCTCAGGGGGGCTGAGCTGCTTTTCCAGCCACTCAACCATTGCCATGGCAATGGTTTCCTGGACGATGCCAGCTCCCTGCTTACATAAGGATGTTTGAAAGCCTCTTTCTTTTTTGGAGAGCTGGGGCATTGCCCCTGTACCACCCACCTCTCCTGGAGAGCAGGGTTCCCGCTCCCCAGGCTGGCACCTCCCCACCTTGTACCTCTGTTTTGCCTCTTTGGAGAAGCCACGTGACATGGCCTCAGGGCTTGCAGGGTCTCAGCATGTGTCTGGCTCCCAAGTTGGTCTTCGCTGCTCTCACACCTCTGGCCCAGCTCATTCTGCACCAGTATCCCTGCAGAGACTGGGGTGCTGGTAGATGGGGAGGGAGGGTTGTGAGGCTGCCAGACCCCAGCTCACTGCCCATCCCTCTCCCAGAGCATCCCCCCTCTCAGGGGACACCAGTGACCTAGTATCAACCAATCTGCATTCAGGTTTTATGTTGCTGCTTTGCCAGCAGCTGGGACCACCAAGAGGGTGGGTGTGGTTCGTGCTGGCTGAATCAGGGGCCGGCACTGAAACAGCAGCACCTGCAAGGATAAAATAAATCTGGATTTCATTCATCCTGGGGGAGGGGCAGGGGAGCCTAGGTCCCTGTTTTTGGCAGACCCACAGTGGTGCCCAGGCTTCTGGGGCTGGCCCACTCAGCCTCCATCACCTGTGCAGGTGGCAGGGTGCAGCCGCATGAGGAGCAAGGACTTTTGTCAGGATGCTGAGGGGTGGCTCTGGTCATTCACAGAGTAGGAGATTTCTGGTGGCCCTCTTAGAGGCCTCTTGACAGTGGTAGAAAAGAAATGCCACCATTCCCAGCATCTCCAAAGCTGGCAGGATGCTGGGGCTGGGGGCGACAGTGTGTGGGTCTGGGCTGCTCCTTGCTCTGCTTGCTCAGGGTCCCTATTGATTGCTGGAGGGGAAGCCACACGCCCCGGTGTCACCAAAGTGAGGGTGAGGAAGGAGAGGGAGGTGAGGAGGAAGAGGGAGGTGTCAGTGCCAGGCTGCCCAGAGCTGGTAGTGCCACAGGCACCAGTATGGCGCTCTCTCAGCTGTGCTAGGGCAGGGCTTGGTTGACACGCAGGGGATGTTAAAGAGCAGTGACTCTCCTAGGACAATCATAGTGGCGCTGAACCATGTCCCTAATGGTGCCCAGGTAGAACGGGTCCAGACAGCAAATGCCACAGTAATGTGCCTGCATGGCCTCGATACCTAAAAAAATGAACTCGGCAAGGATCAAGGTGGCTTTTCCCAAGCCAGCCAGGCCCTGTGCCCTCTTGGTTCCCCTCCAGGAGTATCAGGGTGGGGATGGGATGAGCTTCCCAGGCTGTACCAGAGCAATCCCCCTTTTTCCTCAACTTGCAGGTTAGTTCCCTTCAAAGGCTGGGGGTTGCCTGCCCTTCCTCAAGATCTTACCCCATTTTCTAGGCTCAGCTCCTTGGGGTAATTCAGTCCTGACCCCAGCTTAACTCTTCTCCTGACCCTCTGCTCCTCCCCAGAGCCAGTCACTACTTTCTTGCCAAGATGCTCTGGCCTGGCTGGGGCAGTGGGGGGCGGAGCAGAGATCCTCACTGCTGCTGCCAGCTGAAGTAAAGCCCTTGGGACTGCTGGTGTAAGCCAGGGTGCAGGAGTGCAGGGGTCAGGTGCCTCTGCCCTAGGACCTGGGTACCCTGGCACTGCTGGAGGTCTGGGCCACCTGCCAGGAAGATGGGCTAGTAGCCAACGGGGTGGTGATGCCTTATGATGGGAGACCTCCCATCTCCCTGCCACCCTTCTGCATTCATGCCTTAACTTCCATCTTAGCTTTTCCACCCCTTCTCCCTTCTGTTTTGCCACCTTCTGTCTTTTTTGGCCTGCTTATCCCCCTCTGCATCTCTAGCTTTTTCCCAGAGACTTGTGCTCTTTGGCTCCACAGACAGCAGGGCTGAGGAAAGGAAAACTGGCACCCAGACCCACAGATGGTGTTGTACTTGTGCCAGGAACCATCCAGGAGCTGAGCTTCCCCCTCACATGTGGTCCTTCGTTAGCAGATGCATCTCTCCCTGCAGGACAGCCGCTTTGGTGGAGGCAAAGTGGATGCATTCCCTCTGTCTGTCTGTCTGTCCTTTCTCCCATGTCCAGACCCCTTGGCTGCCCAGCCCTGACTTGATTGCAGGACACTGCTTTCAGTGGCTCCCCACCAGCTTTGGGTGATCATTTGTCCAGGTCAGGGAAAGGGCTTTTCCCGGGGAAAGTGTCCCAGCCCTGTTATTAGACATCAGAGCCTCCCCAAGAACAAGCCTCTAGGACGAGGCCATAGGCTTTGTCATGCAGCTAAGCCTGTGCATGTGCTGGTGCTGGCGGCTGGACCCCCTCTGCCCGTGGCTGTGGTGCATGCCAGGGCATGGTGGAAGCAAGCCGTGGCAAGCTGCCCATGTGGGGACAATGCAGAGGTGATGTCAGGCTCCAGCTGGCATGGAGCACTGCTGTGGTGGGCAGGAGGGTCCCCGCTGGATGCGGCCCTGGGCTGGCACTGGCATGTGGCTCTCCAGACCCTTTGGGCAGGCTCTGGAGGGACCACAGGAGTCTTTCTCCATCCACAATTGCCCAGATTCATTCTGCAGTGGGTTGTGCTGAGCTGGGCAGTGGTGCTGAGCTGGGCAGGGGCAGACAGAGTGCAGGAGGTGGCACCCAGAGCCTGCCAGGGGGTTTTGGGGCTGTGGCAGCATGAGGCCATCTGTAGGTGCAAGCTGCCTGCTCGCCCTCTCACAAAGCCTCGTGGGAATCAGGGCAGAAACCATCTGCCTGCGCACATGTGCACATGGGCATACACACACACACACGTGCGTGTGCACTCAGCATGTGTCGGCCCAGGGGCAGGGTCCGACCCCTTGGCGCTGCTGGGTTACCTGCTTTAGTTACCTGCCACTGGCGACGTCCAGGTTGGGGCTAAATCCTGCCCATCCCCTGCATGCCAGCATCCTGCAGCGGGTGGGATGACTGTGCTGCTGGGTCAGGTAACATGGGTATCTGGGCAGTGTTCATGTGCGCACATGTGTGTGCCCCTCCGTGCACGTGTGCACAAGGTTCTGCATGTATGTGGGTCATTGTGCATCCACGGGCATGACTGACAGCCATGGCATCCATGCGAAGCACACGGGAGAAGGATGCAGCAGGTGTGCTTCTTATACACGTGTGGTCGTGCACATACATGTACAGGAGCATGTACCATGCAGACACGCAGAGGCCAGCCCTGTGGGGGTATGCACAAGCATTTTGTGGAGTTCATGTGCTTCAGCATGGGTCGTTGTGTTTACTTTTGCAAAGTCTGCATGCACAGACGTGTGAGGGGACATGGTTTTGCCTGACAGCTGTGTGTTGGTGTGTGTTCTGTGCATGTATGTGCATGATCACACGCATACACATAGCACACCTGCTGTGTCCTTCTCCTGTGTGTTTAGCGTTTACCTGTGTCCGTTTGGGGGGGGAGATTGTGCTTCCCGGTTTGTGTGTGTTGCTGCAGGGCCTTGGTCTGAGCAGCTGCAGGCTCGAGCATGATTCTGCATGTTTGCGTGGGGCTGGACCCCTGTGTCTGTGTGTGACAGGTGTGGGTGAGTGCTGCTGGGACCTGCTGTGGCAATGCTCTGTGTGCTGCAAGGGTGTGACCCTGTCTGGGCACCCTTGCCTGTCTGGATTTGCAGGAGGAGGGAAGATGGAGCAGGTACTGCACGGTACCAGGCATTTTTTCTTAATAAACAAGGGTATTTGGGGCCAATTGGAGCATGAATAATTCCCTCAGCAGCCAATGGCTGAGTGCTGGCTCCATCTCAGTGCTTGCCCGCAATGGAGGCCAAACCTGCCGGGGCTGCGCGTTGCGTCGAGGGGGAAGGGAGAGGGAGGGCTTAGCGCAGGGCTGGGGCTCCGCTATAAATTGAGGCAAGGGGCTGAGCCAGCGCAGAGCTCTGCTTCACCCCAGCCTGCCACACTGCTGTGCCCCACACCGGGACCCTGTCCTCGGCTCACCCAGCCCATCTGCTCATCCTCGTCCGCTCGGTTCCTCACCATGCCTGAGTGCTGGGATGGGGTAGGTACCACCGTTCCCGTGCTTGCTGCCCTCCCTTCCCAAGGAGTTTTGCCCCAGTACCTCCTCTGCTCGCCGAGGCTGGACCTCTGTACCCAGCAGGGCTCCGTGTGGGCCAGGCAGGCGTTGGTGGGGGGGGACGGGGACCTGCTGCTGGGGAGCCCGTCCTTCCCCCAGCCGCACTGCTGCATCCCCGGCGCGCCGCAGGTTTCAGGGACGCATTGTCCTTGAGCATGTCCTCCCCGAGCCCGGCGGAGATGCTGCGCCGAGGCTGTGGGTGAGCGAGCGCAGCTGCTGGCTGCGCTGGGGCTGAGTGCTGCTTGGGGGGGGGCGCACGCTGCCCCTTCCCCGCCCTCAGAGTTGCAGAGGGAGAGGGTCTCTTACCGTTTTGAAGCAATCCCGTGGATGGTTTCTGGCCTCTGCAATGAAGGCAACACTCAGTGGCAACAGGCTCATGTGGAGGGGAGGGAGTGAGGTGGAAGCACTGCAGTGGCGAGTGGGTGACCTGGAGAGGACTGGGCTCTCTCAGACACCTATGGGTGCTGTGACCCCTGCACCTCTCCTTGCCAGGGCCATGGGTTGTCAGTGCCCCCCCTCTCTGCCTGCATCCCCTACATCCCTAGCCTCTCCCCACAGCAAGCATCCCTGCAACAAAGGGCAGGGTTGTGGTACCCAGTGATTCTGCAGAGGCTGCACCATAGGCAGAGATGTGCCTGGCTTGGCGGGGGGGGCTGGGGGTAGCAGTGCTAGGGAAGGAGCTGCCACCTTGGGCATGTGATTTTGGAGTGGGATTGATACTGGGGCTGTGATGGGGACTGTGGGCATGGAGATGGGCAAGGAGCCAGTGCTGTGCCCAGCATCAGACCACATGGACATCTCCTGCTCTGTGACCTTGGGCCAGGCCCTTTTTCTGCCTCAGTTTCCCCATCTGTCATTGTGGGGGGATGTTCATTGCCTGCTGCTTGATACAGCCCAGGGGGGTGGAGGGACAGCTGTGGATGAGGGATGGGGTCGGGGTGCCCTTGGGTAGCTGAGTGTTGTCTCTACAGAGCCCTTGAGCTGCTCTCGGGTGCCGCGTCCCCTCAGGAACAGCAGATCTCAGTGAGAGGAGGCACCGCATTGAGGAGACCCTGTCCTTAGGTGGTTCCTCCCACCTGGGGCCTGTGCCCTTCAGAGTCCTTGTCAGTGTGTGACCCATGGGAGGATTCACGCACCCGCTCCCCTCCCACCAGCCCATCCATGGGGCTGCCAGTACTAGCATGAAGTCCGCGTTAGTCGGGCACCCTGCCAGCATCCTCTGCCCAGCCCTGCTTAGCTTGTGATGCTCCTGCACCCACCAGATCCCAGCTTTGAGGTCACTGCCAGGGGGCTGGCTGGCAGGCATGGGTATCTGGAGGGGAACCATTTCAGAGCAAGGGATTTTACAGTTACTTGATCTGTCATTTTGGGATCAGGCTGCAGCGTTTCCTGGGGTGCTGTCTGGGGTCTGACCTCTGCCTGTTTGTCCCAAGCACAATTAATCCAGGCCAACTGGGCCATGCTGTGATCCCCACCCTGTTGCCAAAACTCCCTCAGCCTCAGGTCCTCGAAGATTTCCTGTCTCTACCTGTCCTGTCCCATGATCCTCCTCTTCCAAGCCATCTTGGATCATCCCATCCCATCCCATCCCATCCCATCCCATCCCATCCCATCCCATCCCATCCC